TGTCTGGCGCATAGTTGACATTCAGGATATATTTTTTGAATAAATGAATAAATTAAAATTGTTTCCCAACAGATATTAAATGAGTAGCAGTATAATGGTAAATAAATGCTCAAAATACTTATTAGAACTAATGATTGTAGCCTTTGCTATTACCAAACAATGAATTTAAAAGGGAAGAATAATCAAGGTGGTTGTATAAATGACTTTTATTATTGTTTGTGCAAGAACAGTGAACAGTCCCTAGTACAGGAAGCAACTTTTAAAAACTGCTGGCAGAACCAAGAAGTCAGACTGTCCTTGACCCTTAGATCAAATGCTTTGGAGCCTGAGTTTCCTTAAATCTTCTTCAGTTTGGAATAAACATTTTGACACAATGAAAGATTTATTCTATAATTTTTTGGTCTTCATAAACAAAGAGCTTAACTAAATTTGCTAAAACAGAAACCAGAAACTTTCTAATTTTTACTAGTTCCATTTTTAAAAAAAGTTCATTTCCTTTCAAGTGCATAACACTTTAAAATGAGCTCAGCTGTATTAGTAGATAAACATGTTGATTCATTTGGCCCGGAGCTACTGAGTGAAGCGTGGAGGGGCACAGTTTGTTCTTTCTCCCACCCAGTGGCAGAATGTTTTTCTTCCTCTCCTCCCTGTTGAGGGAGAGGACTGGAATAAGTGACTCCCCTTTTTTAGGTTCACTTGAATTGTTTTAAAGGGAAGGGGAAAAGATTTCTTCATCATTTTCTTTTCCTTTTTCTTATTTAATTCTTATTTATATAAAGCATATGCTTCTTACCCAGTGCTCATACTGGAATGGGTATGTAACTGACGGTCGTATATAACTTCACAGGTTTTACAAAGCCATTTTACTTAATGCTCTGTTTTGCGTAATGAGCATGTTATGAGTCAGCGGTGTCTTCAAATACGTTTCACTTTGAGGATGGACTTGATTTTGTATGCTATATGCAGTGGCGTTGGGATAATAGATATACTCACGGTGACTTATGATAGAGATTTCATGAAGTATATGAAGAACTTTTATAAGGAATAGTTTTTAGGAAATGACCAAAAATATGTGGCTTTTACTATTACATAAACCCTTTAAGTAATTGTTCAGCGTATATTGTTTGCCGTGTTTCATACCATGTTATGTATCGGGAATGTGCAAAGATTAATAAAGAATTCTCTCTGCCCTCACGTAGCCTCCCATCTGTGTCCCATTTCCCAAAGCGCACATCATTAGTAGGTAGGCGATCCCCCCAAATAGATTTCTGTCTTTGGATAAGTTTTGGAAATAACTGGACTGAACAGAATAGAAGGTTTCTTATGTGTAGTGTTCTCAAAAGTGTACATTGTGGAATTTGAAAAAGGAAATATACTTTGTAAGATTGTCCAAAATTCTTTGACACAGTTTTTTTCTCATGAAACTTATAGTGTGGGATCTGGGGGTGCGGGGAGCATGAGCGAGAGAGAGGACGTGGCACGTGCGGGAAGAGTGATGAGTGGGTCCTGGAATAGTCTTCGGGCGGCGTTGGACGAATGTAACTTTTTTGTCTAGCCCATACCTCTGAATGCTGTCTCACAGGTCTAGCATTTGCTCTGCAGAATCTGTTTATGCTGCTTAATCTTTCATAGAGTTGGATGAGGGGCTAGATCTTTTGATTGAATCAGTAAATTGGAAATGGAGATTAGTAATTAATATGAAAAATGGTGCCTGTTATCTCAAATTCATCCTGTCTCGAAGCAGACTAACCATTTCTTCCAACGCAGTTATATCCCCTAGCTTTTCTGTTCGATAGACCACAGTAAGGCACCTATATCATGTTTACGCCCCTTCCAGGCTCTTAGACATGAGACCCCTGAGTCATTGACTTTTTGCTTTGTCTTACCCTCCATAGCTCCTGGAACCAGGTACTGCCTAATTTTTCCTTAACATTCATCAGTTTTTTTCCCTCATTCCCACTGCTGTCATCTAGCTTAGTTTCACATGAAGTAAGTGATCAGTAAATATTTGTCAAATGATGGAATCTGGACTCCTGTAGTACCCTCCAGTGACAGATGTGCTTGTAGGCACTGCCTATTCCTTTCAGTCCTGTACCGCTTCTGTTTACATTCACTGTGTGATTTATGCAGAATCTGCTCAGAGCCCTCAGTAGCTCACTGTTGCATAGGAAAACGGCCCAAATGTCGTCCGGCACCAGTCTATCATCTGTTTGAGCCTACACCTCACTACTTATTGATTTATACCGTATGCTTTTTCCACTGACACCACTGCTCACTGTTTCCTACAAAGTTCTTACTTTTACAGTTTCTGTCTGGTAGAATGTATTGTTCCTTATGCTTGGAATTGCTTCTCCGCCCCCTCCCCCCCCACATATTCAAGTAGTAAGCCCATAAACAAAACCCACATTAAATGCTGATACCTCTATGTTCTCTGTAGCTGAGATTGCTGTGGTTTTTCTCTGAACATATAACTTTTCTCTGTACATATAACTTTGTACTACTCTTTTGGTGCTGTTCATATATATCATAATAGATATTAACACACCTGGATTACAGTCTCTAAACGTTAAGTTTCTTGAGGCAATATGGTACAGAGTTTGTCTGCTGAAACAGATAAACCTCCAAGTCTCAGTGGATTAACATAACTGGAATTTTGTTTCTTGAGCAGTAAAGTCCAGAACATGTACAGTATTCCTGATGGGTAGGCGCCTTCTATCTTGTGGCTTCACCATCTTCAGCAAATGATTCGACGTGTGCTCATCTGTGTGAAACACGAAGGGGAAGGAACGTGGAAAGGTCACTGGTGGGTGTTTTTAGTGGGCCAAGCCTGAAAATGGCGTTCATTTCTCATATTTCATTAGCTGGACCTCAGTCAGATGGCCAGACGTGACTGCAGGACGTCTGGGGAACGTCCCAGGAGAAGAGGTGTTTGTGAACACATGACAGTTTGTCACAGTGCTCAAAAGCTTGGGTTCTGACAGATAAATCTGGATTTTAATTCTGGCTGTATCACTTGCCAGCTGTATGATTTTGGACAAGTTGCCGATCTATTCATTTGTGAGAGTCAACTAATAATGCAGGTAAAGTACTTGGCATATAGTAATTAATAAATTTTGGCTGTCATCATTCTCCATGACATATCTTGTACCTTTATGGCATAGGTGCTTATTAAATAAATGTTAAATAAATTTAAACATGGCTAGTTTAGGTATTTCTTGTGTTACAACTCCTTTTCCTTAGTTAATTACCTGTGATGAGAACTATCAAAGGATCTGTCTATTCCAGAACTTACAAACAATACCATAATAAGTTATATTATTTTGCCAAATTAAGTCTTTCATAGACATACATTGAAAAGAAAGATAAATAGCGAAATCTCCCAGGAGGTATAGTAAAAGAAAGAGTTAGAAAATAGGAGAGAAAAAACTAGGAAAATTAGAAGACTGGTCCAGGAGTTTCCAAAACCAGAATCTCAGACTTCCAGAAAGAAATCGGAAGAAATGGGGGTAAAAGTCATTAATAAAGTAAATCAAGAAAATATTTTTGAACTGAAGGACATGTTCTTTTTTTTTCAGAGTGAAAGGGCCCATCAAAAACTCTGTGCAGTAGTTGATGATAGTCCCACAGTAAGGCACCTATCATGAAACTTAAGACCTAGACCCCCATGTAAAGGATCAGCAATCAGTGCCTTTACACCGCTCATTGATAGTAAAAGCAGGAAGACAATGGAGCAGCAGTGCCTTTAAAATTCCGAAGAAAAATGATATCTAAACTAGTTTAAACTACTAATCAAGTTTGAAGGTAAAATAAAGCTATTTCCAGAGAGACGGTGTCTGAAAACATTCACCTCTCACAAATCTTCAGGAAGCTAAGGAATGTACATAGAAGCGAGAGTGTATCAAGAAAGGGGAGGGCCTGAGAGAGAGGGAAGAGGGGTGCAGACCCAGCAGAGGGCGAAAGGAACACTCAGGGTGGTGGCTGTGCCTCTGGCCCAGGGTAACCAGTCCAAACTGGAGCAGGACAGAAGACGGGAAGAGATTTCAAGAAGACGAAATTGATAGAAATCTGATGTGAATGAATATATTCAAAGAGATTTGTCAGACTTAGAGAATCTATAGTTAATTGGGGATAAATACATAGCAGATAAATATATAGGCAATGAAATAAATGAGACACCAGACATTTATTAATTCTAAGGACAAAATGTTATGCAGGAAAAAAGCAATTATTTACTGCTTGGCTTAGCTCTGAATATCCTATGTAGTCATAATGATTTCAGTGTTAAATGTTGACCTAACCGAAGTATTGAGATAGTGGGGGTGCGATGTGTGGAGGGTGGCAGGACTAGGAAACACAGCTAAAGCTTACACTTTGCCAATAGGCAATCACTAGATAAATGTCTGCAACTGACCATTTAAGAAGCAATGGTATAAACATCATCACATCACTTAGAGAGATGGAAGTAAATTTCAAAACAACTAAAGAAAGTTTGTTTTGTGAAAGGAAATGTCGGACAGAGGGCTGGGTACTAGTTTTCCATAACAAACCTGGTAGACCTAGTTTATTTTAAAAACGTACGGATGCGCAACATTTATTTCTGAAACTAGATTTTGGAGAATCCATTAACTTAAGCGGACTTTTTTCTAGATCAGAATATTCTCAGTCGTTTTAGCTTCTTAGTTAAATATTATCCTGGGTTAATGTTCCTGTAGTGCATAATCGGATTCGAGGCATGTAAATCACCTTGTCGTTGTCTTCACTTGCTTAGCTTCACAGACGTTACTCGCGAGTGAGGCGATGGCAGTTCTTCACATCACCCACTAACCTGGGACCAGCGTGTCCGCGTTTAGCCTGCTCCTGCAATGCGCTCATTCCGTGTCTCTTCTCGTGTATTATGCTCTTCTGTGCGTGTTGCATTACACTGTGTTCTCGAATCAATTCTCATGTGCCCCCCCCCTTTATTTTTTGCTTTCCTTGATTTCCCTTCCTTTGCAGCTTCTGTTCCCTTACGTTTCAGCAGCAAGGATGCTTGGCACGGTGAGAAGCCGCTGGGCTCCTTCGGCCCCCTCTCCCCAGCGCGTGGATGGAAGGGCAGAGCGGGGGATCTGTGGGTGAGTTACCAGCGCTGAGGAATGCTGTCGCTCTCCAGCGTTTCTGGTTCGGCAGCTTCTAATCATTATTACCATCTCTACTTCCAGTGCTTTTAATAACTGTCGGGTTCATGATTGACTGAGTTACTTATCTGTTAGATTCGGAGTTCTTAATTGTATGTAAAAATGAACTTACTAGTTCAATTTGGCTTATTTAAGCAGAAGAGAGATTTATTAAGGATATGGGAGGTCTCGGAATTGATGGGAGGGCCAGGCTGGGAGGATTGGGGCTGCACAGCTGGGAGCAGTGCTGCCATTCCTAAAATAGCTGTAGAAAAACACTCAGTAACTGAGTGTCCCGCTTGTGAAGCTTGTCCTTCTTTATGACAGTAATATCGCTGTTATACTCTCTAATGATAAACTTGTAAGTTGAGAAATTATTACTTTTCTTTTCAAGTGGCAATCATTGTGGGGTGAATGGTGGGATGACTGGATTTGTATATCCCAGGATTTCAAATCCAAAGATGGGGGAAGAGGAAACGTGAATTTTCAGGAGATGAAGCATAATTTGGCCTTTGAGCAGAGTTAGAGGACAGCCTTAGGTCAATGCATTTCTCAGTGTGTTCTGGTTAAAATAGAATTCAGATCCTTTGATTAAAACCCTCCACTGTTTTTTTGGTCTCATATAGAAGAAAAAATCTAAACTTCTACCCATAATCTTTAAGGCTCAGGATGCTTTGGGTGGAGATGGATTTACCGTGAAGCTAATGAAAGCTTGTGGCTTCTGCTCGCGGAGGCCTCCTCCTGGGCTGCACCTGCGTCGGTTTAGGCCTCTGTCATTCTCCACTTTGCCTTCTCCCTGTCACCTGTCCCGTCCTTTCAGGTTATGCGGGAGTGGACACAGGCAGTTTCGGAACCCTAAGGAGAGAGGTGTGAGAATCGTTTATGTCATTTGCAGTCACGTTCACGTATAGTTTAGTCACAGAGAGCCCGCCCGATGTAAGAATGCCTCCTAGCCGCATCCTCATATGAAATGCAGGGCTAGAGGCCCAGGGGTGGTATGAACTTGGACTGTGCCACTCAGCCAGCTCTGGAAGAATGTGGGTAATGGGGAAGAAACCAAGACTGACCATTTGCAAGTTTGTTGAACATTTTTCTAATCTTATACCTCATATGTGAAAGAAACGTAAAAGAGGCTTTCACAGATTCAATATTTTGAGATATTTATATAACATTACCGATAGCTGTGAAGCTGAAAGAAACTTTTCTATTAGTAGTAAAAAATAAATTATCACTCTTTATTCAAGGTAACAGACTGAACTATTCTCTAATCTCTATAGAAAGTGATATTACAAAATCGTTGCCATATGAAGAAGCAATCAAGTAGTACAGTCAATATATATAGGAAAATTATTATAAAAGTGTGCCAAAGGGTTAATTATTAAAAATATTATGTTATTATTTAGGTTTTTTTGATGTGGTTGACGACTTTTAAAAATTTCTAATTTGTTTCTTTTTTCATACTAAATAAATACTCAATTTAGGACCGAATTTTGTTTTCATAATTTTGTATTTCTTTTCTTAAGAGAGCCCTACCCCAAATCATGTAAGTTTCAGGCTCCATCAAAACCTGGATTTATCCCTGGATTTCTTGTCTATCTCTTTAACCTCATCTCATATATTCATTCTCTCAGACATATTTATCTTTTTTTATTCTTCAAATGGATTACGTTCTCGTGTCAGGCC